TTTTGTTATTATTTAATTTTTTTTTTTTTAATATTAGCAATCAAACTTGATTATACTTCTAAACAAAATCTTTTGAAAAATTTACTTATTTTCAAACCAGGTCCATTAAAGCAATTGGAAATATTTTTACCAATGCGACAAATATAAAAGAAACTTGTTTTAGTTCATACATTTATTTCAAATACAAATTGAATCGATATTTCTTATTTCTAATTTATGTTTATGCATTATAATGCTGATCTTTTGTTAACAGAAATGTGAAGTAAAAACCACTTGCTGTGGCTATACTTTCATTCATGTCATTAGAAAACAAATATGAAGATTCTCTAAATGGAAAACCCCGACTAAAAGCCACACTAGTACAGAGCCCTGAACTTGATAAGTTTATTACTATTAGGACATTGGGGCATTGGGTTGCTTTAGGATAATTAATACAGTTGACATCAACTCAAATAGTTAGAGTTTAATCTTGATTCAAATTTTGTGTATGGAAGAAGTACAATATACTGATAATTACAATTGTCTACAATTAGATGAAGATCTCAGATATTGCTGAGTTCATCCTGACAAAAGGACGCGTAGGACTATGTATGTTGACTCGACTATGGATTATCATCAAGAATGGGTTATGGGCTAAACCACGCCCACCCGTTACATACATGGAAACAAAATCACTATGCCCTGAAATCTCAATTCACAATGGCTTCAATGGGTAAACAAAAAGCAATCAACTAGAGAAATCCCGTTCAATAATGGCAAACGACAAGCGACTTCCCGTACGAGCTGGATCGAAAGTATGCAATACTTGCAGGCAAACTAAATGTATACGTTGTATTTGTGTTTTATCTGAAAGCCAATTTAATATAAACAAATAAGTATGCTTAAATCTGGGATTTGCACGACTAGCATATACCCTAGTTGAATTATTTTGGGGGACAAAATTTTAAACTTTTCTAATAGTTTCATTACACAAGTTTTAAATTCACGCCAATCATTAATAATAGAATTTTGATTATTGTAAGAAGATATAATCATTGAACTCTGTAGAATAATCATCTGGCCACAGGCTAATGTTCAGGCAACCATTGCCGAAGTCACGCTGCTGAGAGACTTCAATGAAAACGGAGCATAAAGACGTCAGACAATGGGCAGCCAAAAGCAAAAGTATCAAAAAGAAAAAAGAATTAACAAATATTATTCATAAACATGTTGTTATTGAGTGTTTTGGAAACGCAGTATGAAACCATATGGGGAAGCTAAACTAAATGCTGAGGGTATTGATTAGCATTTGAGTTGGCTGAGCACACTATTGTTTATTGCCATAAACTACGATCGATAAATTTACACAATGAAAAGAATCAATCAAGGCGCCCGAGCCGGAGACAGAGACGGAGCCGAAGCCGGAGCCGGAGCCAGATTGTGATTGTACTAAGTTGTGTGCAGGAACAAGTTCTCATTGTTCTGCCAAATTGAATGGGGCGTTCATCAAGCCGATTGGGGCAGATGCGCGTCATTCCGCGATATATTTAACAAATATCAACAATTTCAATAAAAATGCCAAACATCTAAATCCCTTCCTTTATATGAGCGAAAATTTACATAACGCCATTCGATTCGATTGGGTTTTTTTTACGTCTGCCGTTCTATTTGCGTCTCCGGCTAGTTTTTGCTGATCTACTTTTCACAAGGTTCTCTGGCAGTTGCTGATGCTGCGGAGGCTGCTTCTGCTGCTATATAAGGCCACCGATCGGTGGAGCACTTCAATACAAATCAGTCGGTAATCCAATCAACATGAAGGTAAGCAAACCATCATCGATGGATGGCCAAGTGGATTCATCGAGCATTCATTGGACGTCTTTTTGCAGTTCTTCCTCGCCTGTTTGCTGCTCGCCGCCTGCCTGGCTCTTGGCCAGAGCAGTGCCATCTATGGCACAAGCTACGCCCAAGTGCCCGTCGTCCGTCAAGTGCCCGTGGTCCGCAATGTGCCCGTGGTCCGTCATGTGCCCGTCGTCGACTCCGTTTCCGTGCCCGTCGTCCACTCGGTAGTGCCCGTGCATCGCGCCGCCTACATTTCATCACCATCTCTGCTGCGCGTTGGACACGCCTACGATGTTCCTCTCGCCTACGGCGGAATTCTGAAGCAAAAGAAATAAGCTTACTCCAATTAACTGAACAGCTCGGCAAATACGCTTCAAGATTCTTGCAACAAAATTTACGAACAATTTTTTTTTATTATTTTTTTTTTGTTAATGTAATACGTCAATAAATTCGAAATCTGTAGTCAAAGATAATAAGTGCTTAAAAATGTTGAATGGACTACGACAAACTGGCGCCAAATTGATACACATGGTTGAACAATCCTTTTGCATTTGCTACTCCATAAATCGATGGTAATGAGATAGCAGCGAGCTCAAACATATCCCATCATGAATATGGTCTTAAGGAGCACTGTTGCCTATAACCAAATATAATTGCCAAACATCTATAAGACCATGTCACCAATAGAGCTTCCAGCTCAATTCCAGCAACTGATAGCTGAGATGAAGAGATGAATAAATGATTCATCCTAATGAGGTTACTCTTGCCAGCAATCTTCTTGATCTATCTTTAAGCTGTAGTTGGCCTGGTTCAAGTTGCCTCAAGGCCCAGCAACTCAATCTACAGCGTTGACTCTGTGGATCCGGAGAATGTAATGTATCTCCGATATCTTTGCCTGTGTTTATCTCTATTTGTAATGTCTCTTGTTGTACAGAAATTAATCGAGCTATTCTTCATTATCGGTGTTTCTCCTTTCACGTAAGCTGTAAGGATTATAATAATGTCATATTTAACCTCATGCTTCGCTGAACTAAAAAGTCCTTTTATATACTGTTGGCATCATCGGCTGTGAACATGCATTCAGTTATAAATATGAGCTCTTGATTTATTCAGTATGAAGGAGATGTACGTTTTTGAAATTGAATGCACTCTTCCCAGTTGAACATTTTAAAGCGAAACATCATGTTTACATGGGATTCAATCTTGACATTGATATCGTTATCCATTAAAAGTGGAGAAGACAAAAAATTCTTTTTAGTCTATGTGTTTCAACATATGCGAATTGTTCATTGATCTTACCCAAAGAAACCCCAATTAATGATAGCTGAATAAGGTGGGTGACATTCGGTTTTCGATATTTTGCTTGCGCTTAACAAGTTTTTCGATTAATGATATATGTACATTATATATTAGAAGAACACGAAGACAACCTTGAACGTACAAAACAGATGTGAAATAGATAGTATTGAGCTCGATTGAGGAACTAAATCTTTATTTCTACTAATCCCAATAATGATATTGTCGTAACCATTGCTTTTGTAGTTGTAGTAGTTCAAGGTAGCTACTCTTTAAGATTCTTTTTTAAGATCCTAACGGTTGCTCACAGTCCAGCATGAATTTGCAGAGGTGATTAATAATAACATTCATAATGAGGTAAACAGATTAAGTAGAGATAGATATCTTATTCTATATACAAAAAAATGTTTCTTAAATGACTAAAAGCATACAAAATTGCCAGGTAAAGCTCAAATATTTGATGTAATCTGTGTTTCTCACACTAATTGGGACACATTTAACATACTCGAACTCACACGTGCACACGCACACACACACACGCATACATTACAGATTACTGATGTTGTTTGCCGGTTTACGACCATTAAACAATAGTTGTGTGTATTAGATGGCTGGCTTGTTGATTTGGAATTTTACATAACCCGCTGTTCGCTGGCGAACTGAGATGTCGGCTTTGAGTTGACAAACACAAACGATTCACCTTGAAATGCTGACTTGAAATTGAGACTAGATTCAGAGTGTTCGATTGGCCCGTGGGCCGCGTTAGACAGCGAGCCGCCGCTTGAGGCAACTGCAGCACCAACAATACGCATATGCAAATGCATCCGTAGAGAAATAAAGTAAGAAAGAGAGGGCGAGAGAGAGAGAGAGAGACAGATATGGGTAGACAAAGTGGAAGAGTGAGACACCTACTTGAGGCATCGTCTTATCAGTTGCCGTGAACGGCAACGGCAACGGCAACGGCAACGGCAACGGCAACAGCGTCCACGGTCGCTTCATTTTCATGCTAATTAGAAGGAGGTCGCTTTCGGAATTTCGGAAATGCATGGAGTAGACCGAAAGACGTTGCAACGTTACGTTAAAGTTAAGGCTTTACGAAACTGGAAACTGGAAATCGGACAACGTTATGAAAATTAAAATTGATATTGAGCTGGAAATGGAAATTGAAATGGAAATGAAGAACCAACTGGGTGCGGTGCGACCTTATGAAAACGAAAGCGRCGACGACGGCGATGGCGGCGGCGGCTGCTTCTTTATAAGCAGACTTTGCATCATCTTCGATCATCACTATCTTAATCATGATGATATTAGCTATGATGACCACAAAGATGATGATGGTGATAATGAAGACCATTTATGAGATGCGGCCCTGGTCATTGCAAATGTTAATGAAATGCTTTTGTTTAACTCTGGCTCAGCCCTCAAGATATTGCCTCTGCTTGGACCTGGGCTGGGCCAGCTCAAAAGATTGGGATGCGTCGTTGCGTCGCTATGAAATTGCTTTGCTAATTTCGTAGCATCAAGCTCATCATGAGCATTGGTTACAGCAGCTGTTGATGCTGCTGATGCTGCTGATGCTGCTGCCATGCTCGTGCGTTACAACGTCTTGGAATCGTATAAAAGCGAGCGATGGCCAATGGATTGACATCAGTCGTGTTTGAAGAGCACACATAGCGTAGAATTTGGCATTAGAGTCGTCAATCCCAAGCAGGAATAGTCGTCAGTATGAAGGTAAGCATCCCACATACTCAACCAGCCCTGCCAAGTGTATCCATTCTAATCTGATTTAGGTCTTTGTGTGTCTGAGTGCGCTTTTTGCCGTGGCGAACGCCGGCTTTCTGGGACTGCTCGGAGGTGGCGGCGGCGGTGGAGGTGGCGGCGGCAGCGTCAAGTCAGGCCTCAGCCTGGGAGGCGGTAGCGGCGGTTACGGTGGCGGTTATGGCGGTGGCTACGGTGGCGGGCACGGCGGCGGACACGGTGGCTTGCACGGACATGGACCCGTACAAGTGGTTAAAGTCATTCACCAGCAGGGAGGCATCTCCGGCGGTGGTGGCTATGCTGGCGGCTATGGCTATGGACCCGCCCCACAGGTGTACAAGGTGAAGGTGATCTCTGGCGGCGGCTCGGGCCCAGCTCCTATCTACCATGGCGGTGGCGGACCCGCCTCTGTCAAAGTGATCAAGGTTTTGCATCAGGAGTCTGGCCCTCTGGTCGGTGGTCCCATCGTTGAAAGCGGCCCACAGATCATCAAGGTTTTGCATGAGAACCACGATAATGGCCACCACATCCATGTCGGTCCATCCGTGCACGCGCCTACCCGGGTGGTGCGTGTCATTCACGAGCATTCTTCGGTGTCTGCTCCCGCTCCCATTTACACTGCACCCGCACCAGCTCCAATCTACAGTGCCCCTGCACCAGCGCCAGTTTACAGTGTACCTGCTCCAGCTCCAATCTACGGTGCACCTGCACCAGCTCCAGCTCCAATCTACAGTGCACCTGCACCAGCTCCAATTTACAGCGCACCCGCTCCAATCTACAGCGCACCCATCTCAGTTTCGGCACCCGCACCCGCGCCCGCACCTCTGCCCATTTACAATGCCCCGGCGCCTGCACCCATTCAGTACAGCGCTCCCGTTCAAGTTCAGAATCAATACAGTGCTCCTGCCCCTCCGCTACAGTATAGCGCACCGCTCCAGGCCCCATCACCCGTGCTGAGCGTGCCCGAGCCCGCACCCGGTCCAACTTTTAACCAGGGCTCAGTCTTGAGCATACCCGCACCCGTCGAGGAGGCACCATTGCCCATCGGCCACGCACCCGCCCCGAGCTATGGCCCGCCTCAGCTTTAAATAGCTATCCATTTTCAACACCTAAGAGCACAACTGCACCGCAGCACCACTGGAGGCATCCACCATCACCAGCACCAGCACCACATGTTTCAGAATGTGGGGATACATCAAAGACCTCCAATTCTATGACTTCTATCGACCTATCGACCTAGCTTCTTTATGCCCTCAAAACTCTTCTGAACGACGCCATAAATTATTTTAATTTTTTTTTTTTATATAATAGATATATTTTTTGTTTGTTAAAAAGAGAAAATAGAAAATAAACCGACTGTTAAATACATTCGCAACACTTTGAAGATTGACAAATGATCAGTTTGATATCTGAAATTTGCATATGCAGTGAAAATACTATATAAATATATCTGCTCTAAAGCAGCTGGTGCTAATATATAGCAATATGAATCGAATTCCATATTAGTGTGGCTAATGAATTGACTATAAACTTTTATGAACATCAGAACGAGATCGTAGTTGGGCACTAAAACGACTACAACGAATCCCTTGAATATGGATTGCAATTCTTGAAATATCAACGCACCGCTTTCGCACTCGCACTCCACACCTGCCACCCCACACACACATACAATGCGCGGGGGCTAAGAAAGGAAAAGCATCAATGTTATATCACTGGAGCCCACTCTAAACTTGACCTTCGCGTTATCGCCAGTGGCTTAGCTGCAACGCCAGCTGTTGCGCCTGCGCAAACACCAATAGATATTAATCTGACGCATTTGCATAAATAAACTGTTAAATTTCACATTTTCTTTTATCTTTGGCGGGGCTTTACGAATGTTTGAACACGCGAACAAAAAAGAAAACAAAAACAAAAAAACAAAAAAAAAAGAAACAACAAATTTGGCTTTTGTTGGGCTGTGCTGTTGTTGTTGCTGGTCAGCTTTTGCTATTACGATGATATTATATGTATTCGCTTATTTTATTGTTTCATAACAAATTTGTTGGGGCATGCGAACGACGCTAACGACGACAAATTTGTTTCGCTTTAATTATTTTAAACACAATTGTAAGCTGTTGATGTTGTTGTTGTTGTTGTTGTTGTGGATTCGGTTGTTTAATGTTATTAAAGTTGTTTAAAGATTTTTTTAAAGTTATTCGGCAGCTTTGACTAGCGCTTCAGCAACTTCCACGGCAATGGCAGCTTCTGCCTTGGCCTGCAATGCGAATCAAAGAGTTAGTTGTCTACGTTTCTCATTTTCTCATTTTCAAGTCCATCGAACAGCCCCTCACCTTGTCGTTTCCAGCAGAGCTCAGCTCAGACTGGTATTTGGAAAGCAACTGCCTGGCCTCGCTGACATCGATGTCCTCAATATTGTGCGCCTCCTCGGCCAGCACCTGCACAGAGGAGTCCTCATTGACGGTCACTGAGCCACTGGAGACAAAGTACTTTGTTACTTTGCCGTCGTTGTCGGTCACCTGGACAACGCCGGGTTTCAGCACAGCTATGGCCAGAACGGGTCAAGAGATTGATTATTGATTTACGTTTGATTAATAAATAGCAACAATTCGTGCTTACCCAATGTGGGCACATGCTTGGCCAGAATACCGAAAGAGCCGCTGAAAGAGGGCACATCGATTTGTCGCACAACTGCGGCGTCGAAGAAGGTCTTGTTAGCAGCAGCGAATGTCAGCTTCATGTCGTCCGAGTAGGAGCGATTCTGGCCGAGACGAGCGCCGCGCATGGCCAACAAACGAGCGTTTCTCACGAACGACATTTTGTTCTGAAAAAAGTAAAATAATGTGTGTGGCAGTCAATTGGTAAGTTAACTCAGCACCTTGCAAAACAGTTAACTGCTTTCAAAATAAAATGTATACAAATTATGTAACTTTGTAGGTTATGCCACAGGCGACAAGTGACAAGCATTCGGTTAACTAAACACTGTGATAGCACCACGGAGTGCAGCCTGTTTGCTGTTCTTTTTTTCCTATTGAAAACAGCCCTTTTGCAGCAATTTGATTACCTTTTATTTATTTGGAGTGTGGCGAAAATAAAGAATATTATGGAATCGCTAAGCTCGTAACCAGTGCCGCTGCTTAGAGATGTGAATCAAATCGACAATCACTTAATTTCTTCATATCGATTGCCTGCACTCTGAATAAATATCGATATTATTTCCTCTCTCTCTCTATCGACTCGCCGCCATAAACTATCGGCAATAGCACGCGAGGCTGGTATGCAGTACTATAAACATTAGATAATAATACAAATATAAATGTATTTATGAATGTAAATACATACAATAATCATCCAAA